TCAGGTTAATGAAGGGAACAAGATGCAAAGACATGTGTCATTTTTATACTATTATATTCAAACACCAGCACAAATCGTTTATCACAATTTTTTTGAAAAGCAAAAAAGTAAAATTCAATTCAAGAGTAAAAACATTACACTTTAATCCATGATAAAGTTGCACCAGAACACTAAAACTAGAACCCAAAAAAACTAAAACAAAACATTCTACAACCAAGACAAAATCTGTTTCAAAACAATTGTTACACCATAAAAGTTAAACAAAGAAACACAGATTAACAATCGTTCATCACAATTAACTTAATAAGTTCTTCTTCCCTTAACTAATCACCACTCTAATTAACTAATTAATAATAAATAAAATAAAATATATAAACTGGTTTTCCATTTTCAATTTGAATATTATATAAACTGGTTTACATGAATTTGAATTTCCTGCGCATTAATAATACCTTATTCATTAATAATAATATCATATACATTTGGTTTTATGTATGATAACTGGTTATGAAAATGGAAACCAGATTTTTGTTTTGATATCAAAATGGATCTGGAGCGGTTCACATTCAACACAAATTGGATTATAAAAATTAGTGCACTGAATTTTTAAAATTGGTTCGTGTAAACCAGTTTTTTTGCACACCCCTATCAGTGGTTGGTGCATCAAGGAATTGGTTGAGCTTGCTTACAGTGTAAGCAATATCAGGCCTGTTGTGAGTTAAGTAGAGTAATATTCTAATGAGTCTCCTATATGATGTAGGGTTAGAGATAATTTAGCTAGAATATTTGTGCAATTGGGCGAAAATTATCAAGTTCCTGCCACAACTTTTTCATCTTGTTGTAGTAATTGGAAATGGTACTATCACCTTGTTTCAAGGTGTAAATCTCTTCTTGGAGATCAGAAATGCAAAAAATGTCACCTTGGTAAAAACGTTCTTTGAGTTCTGGCCAAATTTTTGCAGCACTTTCCATCCATAGTATGCTATGTGAGATTTCAGATTCCACGGAGTTGTTGAGCCATGACATAATCATGGTATTGCATCTATCCCAAGCAATTGAATCTCTATCTTCATCAGGTGGGCGAGGCAAGGTGCCATTGATAAAGCGAAGCTTGTGTTTGGAACGAAGCACAACTTGCACAACGCGTGACCAAGAATGATAATTGGAACCGGATAATGGAGGAGTAGGAAGAACTTTACCAGGGTTTTCATTTGGATGCATGAAATAGGGATTGAGTATATAAATTTGGTAGCCTTTTGATGTAGGCTGCGTGGGAGTGTTGCCATGAACGCCGCTGATGAAGCGCTCATCATTCATGGTAAAGAATCTTGAAAGATTCAAGAATGGTTAACAGATGGTTGAACCTTTGTGAAAGAAGAGTTGAGATTTGTGAGACAATAGGGAAGAAGAAGAGGAAGGTGATGGTGGAGATATTGCTTCTGATACCATGTAAAAACTAATGGTAATACAGCATTGTTGCGCATAAAACTCAGATAAGAAATAGAAATAAGGAATTCTCTGTATATTTCTCACAAAAATATTAGGTTTTACATAGATTTTCACATAGAACACACAAAACCTATTATCATTTATTGTGATAACAAGTTAGCAATGGACATCGCAACTAATCCTGTTTTCCATGAGAGAACGGAGCATATGGAGATAAATTGCCATGTTATTAGAGACAAAGTCCAGTCAAGGCTGATACACTTGCTGCCGGTTTCATCAAAAGAGCAAGTTGCTGATATCTTAACAAAGCCGCTACATCCAGGACCGTTTCATACTCTTCAAGCCAAGCTAGGAATGATTAACATCTTCTTTAGCTTGATGGGGGATATATAAAAGAAGAAGATAGCAAGGAATAAAAGAGCCAAGAGTTCACTATTGTAACTAATTCTCTAACGCTTTCTGTTGTTAGTTATATGTCACTCTAGGTGTTAAGCTCCTAAAGTATATATAAACAACTCTGATGCTATGTAACAGTGAGTATTTTGTGAGAAATATACAGATAATTCCTTATTTCTATTTCTTATCTGAGTTTTATGCACAACAATGCTGAATTACCATTAGTTTTTACATGGTATCAGAAGCAATATCTCCACCATCACCTTCCTCTTCTTCTTCCCTATTGTCTCACAAATCTCAACTCTTCTTTCACAAAGGTTCAACCATCTGTTAACCATTCTTGAATCTTTCAAGATTCTTTACCATGAATGATGAGCGCTTCATCAGCGGCGTTCATGGCAACACTCCCACGCAGCCTACATCAAAAGGCTACCAAATTTATATACTCAATCCCTATTTCATGCATCCAAATGAAAACCCTGGTAAAGTTCTTCCTACTCCTCCATTTTCCGGTTCCAATTATCATTCTTGGTCACGCGTTGTGCAAGTTGTGCTTCGTTCCAAACACAAGCTTCGCTTTATCAATGGCACCTTGCCTCGCCCACCTGATGAAGATAGAGATTCAATTGCTTGGGATAGATGCAATACCATGATTATGTCATGGCTCAACAACTCCGTGGAATCTGAAATCTCACATAGCATACTATGGATGGAAAGTGCTGCAGAAATTTGGCTAGAACTCAAAGAACGTTTTTACCAAGGTGACATTTTTTGCATTTCTGATCTCCAAGAAGAGATTTACACCTTGAAACAAGGTGATAGTACCATTTCCAATTACTACAACAAGATGAAAAAGTTGTGGCAAGAACTTGATAATTTTCGCCCAATTGCACAAATATTCTGGCGAAATTATCTCTAACCCTACATCATATAGGAGACTCATTAGAAGATTACTCTACTTAACTCACAACAGGCCTGATATTGGTTACACTTTAAGCAAGCTCAACCAATTCCTTGATGCACCAACCACTGATAGGGGTGTGCAAAAAAACTGGTTTACACGAATCAATTTTAAAAATTCAGTGCACTAATTTTTATAATCCAATTTGTGTTGGATGTGAACCGCTCCAGATCCATTTTGATATCAAAACAAAAATCTGGTTTCCATTTTTCATAACCAGTTGTCATACATAAAACCAAATGTATATGATATTATTATTAATGAATAAGATATTATTAAGGCGCAGGAAATTCAAATTCATGTAAACCAGTTTATATAATATTCAAATTGAAAATGGAAAACCAATTTATATATTTTATTTTATTTATTATTAATTAGTTAATTAGAGTGGTGATTAGTTAAGGGAAAAAGAACTTATTAAGTTAATTGTGATGAACGATTGTTAATCTGTGTTTTTTTGTTTAACTTTTATGGTGTAGCAATTGTTTTGAAGTAGATTTTGTCTTGGTTTTAGGATATTTTGTTTTAGTTTTTTTGGGTTCTAGTTTTAGTGTTCTGGTGCAACTTTATCATGGATTAAAGTGTAATGTTTTTACTCTTGAATTGAATTTTACTTTTTTGCTTTTCAAAAAAATTGTGATAAACGATTTGTGCTGGTGTTTGAATATAATAGTATAAAAATGACACATGCCTTTGCATCTTGTTCTCTTCATTAACCTGAATTTTTTTCGTGTCTTCAAATTAAGAAAGATACAATTTCCTTATAAACCAATTTTGATTGAAAACCAGTTTAAACCGGTTTTGAACCGAATTGAAACCATTTTGCAATTTTAAATTGGTTATTATAAAAAATGGTTTGGTTTTAAAACTAGAACCATTAAAATGGATTAATTCTTAAAATTTGATAACCATGCACACCCCTACCGTTGTTGATGGTTCTTCATCCCGGTTTATTTTGATAGGATGTTATGATGGTTTTGGAAGGGTATGGGAAGGTCCTAGAGTATGTATATATATATTGGAGGAACATAGCGATGGTGTCACTTCTGTTACTGCTTTTAATCCGGAAGGTGTGGTAAGTGTTACTCTAGCTACTGCTTCTAAAGTCCGAACACTAAGGCTATGGAAGATGGTGATGCATAGGGGTGTGCATGGTTCTTAAACCAACCCAAATTGGTCCAAATATATAACTTAGGTTTGGTTTTTATAACTGTTTCATAAAATCAGTTTATTTTCACAAAACCAGTTTATATTTAGTTCGGTTTGGTTTAAAACCAGTTTTTCATTTAAACCGGTACAAAATTAAATATTTTTCAGACCAGTTTTCAATTTAGTATTTGAAACACTTATTTATATATTGATTTGCTGGGAGTAAAAAGCTCTCTTTCCTTCTAATTTATTTAACAGTATAGGTTATTATTAAAACAAAAAAATCAACAGTAGGAAAACAAAAATGAAAGATCATATATTTAAAAAAGATACATAAAAGAGAAAAAAATTAAAATTGGTTCAAGTGGTAATGAGTAAATCATGATTTTTCATACATAAATTTTTCTTTTAATTTTTTATCTCATTCAACTATCCAGACTCTTTTTTTTATTTCTAGGCTTATCTACATTTCTTTGAAACTCCCGAGAACATGTATAGGTATATTCCATTGCCTTGAGACCTTTTGGAAGCAAAGTTTTACCGAAAAACTTATCTTTCCATTTTCGTCCTCTCGGTATTTCCCGACACCGGAGCTATGAAAAAATCTTTGTGTATTTTTCGACACCGGAGCCATGGAAAGATGATGAAAACCTCGCTGGATTGTGGCTTTAAGAGGAGACCGTATCAGAATGAAATCAAGACGATTGGAGAACAGGTTGGAGGAATTAGTGGAAACACTAGATTCTGATGTAGTGAATGATGTAGATCTTGAAAAAAATGAATCGAAGAAGTAGAATAAAAGAAGGGAAACTCTCAGATGATGAAGGAAGTGACGGTTATCGATTAATACATTAGGTTTACAACTTTGTTTTTAAAATGGATACCGGGTCTGAAATTGGTTTTTTAAAGTGGATACCAAATTTTTTGGGTTTTACTAAAACGGATTGAGTCAGTTTTGATGCCAAATAATCTGGACTTTTAAAATTGGTGCACCTATTTTTTTTAAATGGTTCAGTTGAACTGGTTTATTTGCACACCCCTAGTGATGCATGAAGAAATCCAACTTTACTACTATTGGAATGTTGAAACCGGGGAGACTTCATGGGAAATTCCCCAGGTTTTGGTTCAAGCTGATCATTTGACTAATGATCCTTTACCTCATGCTTCTGTCAACAACAAATCAAATAGTGCCACAGTTGGTGTGGATAATTCCAACATGCTTTCAGCTCTGACTAATGTTGAGAAGGAGTCGGATTCTAAGTTGAAGTCTTGCTCCACTTCCCTATCACCATCAATGACATACTTTTTCAACTCCTATAAGACCGACGATGGTATTGTTGTTTTATGATGTTTTAGAAAATAATGCATATAAGGTGTTTGATAAAATACCTCTATATGTTTCTGATCTGTCGGCAGAGATTTTGCTTTCAGAAAACTTGTTACACTCGGAGAGACACAACATTTATGTTGTCTTTCTGATGAGCTTGCGGAGAATCTTATTTGTTCTATTTCAGAAGATACTTGTTCCGTTGTTTCTATTGAAGCTGAGAATGACGAGGAAAGGATTATGGATGGACAAGGTCTTTGAATCATAGTAGATTGTGCTGGATACTCTACTGCTAGTTCAATATATTCTGATGCCATGTTGAGTGTTCGCGAGAGAGTTTGGACAATGAGCAATTTGAAAAGATAAGTGTTGCCTTAAATGAATTTAAATATGATGAGATTTTGTCTGATCGAGTGACGTTGGTGGGCATGGAAACTTTGGGTGCGGAATTTGCTACAGAAATCTCTAATTTGAAGAAGGAATATCCTGTGATTTTGTCTGATCAAGTGGCATTGGCGGGCATGGAAACTTTGGGTGCATCAAATAGTAAATCTGAAAATATGAATGGCATGGAAACTTTGGGTGCATCAAAGAGTAAATCTGAAAATATGAATGTTGATGTTTCCGGTGAATCTTCTTGCACCTTCTTGCGCGGGAAGAGAATATAAGGATAATGGTAGTGGATTTAAACATTTCGGTGCCTCGGTTGGAGAGGAAGCTTAGGAAGAAAATGGTTGTATTTTGTGGGACTTGGTTGCGAGTAAAACACATGCGGAACTCATGGTGGAGAATCTGGTACTTGAAGTTCTTTTAGCAAATCTCGTTGATTACAAATCCAAGCGTGTTAATGAGATTAGCATAGGAATTATTGGGAACCTTGCCTGCCACGAAGTTCTAATGAAACGTATAGTCTCGACTAAAGAACTGATTGAGATGATTGTGGATAAATTATTTTTGGATGATCCTCAATGCTTATGTGAAACTTCTAGATTATTGACTATGAGCCTTCAAAGTGGTAAATCTATTACCTGGGTGGAGGCATTGCGGTCTGAACATGTATTATGTCAAATATTATAAATTGCGGAAAATACTTTGAACCTTCAGCTTTTAGAACAGATTGCAGGGCTTATATTGACAATATTAGAAAGCCAGCAAAATGTTATGGAAGATCTTCTTCCACCAATAATGAAGCTTAGTTTAGCAAGTATATTGATCAATCTCTTGACTTTTTGAGATAAGCAAACAAATGAGTGAAAGAATGCCTGAAAGATGCTTGATGCTCGCAGAATTCCGGATGGTAAAAAAATTGGTAGAGTATTGTCTTGGTTGTGTAAGGGTGAAAAGGCTAAAGAAGCTCATCAAATGTATATAGCAGCAATAGAGAACAAGAGGCTAAAGAAGCTTCCTGATGTAGATTTTCCCTTTACAAAACAGCTTCATGCATGCCTTGGATCAACTCTTGTTGTAATGGGACCTGATAGATTGTTATCCCTTGTACCATTGAATCTGGAAGTTGAAGATCCTATTGCAATAACTTCATTTGTAGCAGTGGAGAAAGGGAATGTTCAGTTTAAGCAATGGGATCCAGGAGTAATTTTAGAACCTTGAGGGCAAGGTTCAAGTGAATTCGGCGGCAATGATAGGAGGGTATTATAGCATTTATATTATTAGTTATATGTAGTGTTATTGATAGGGGGTAATAATAGAAATTATATTATTAGTATGGTTATTGGGTTTTATTTGTAATTGAGCATTTTAGTTAATGATCCATTAGTATCATTATATATGTAATGTCCTTGATACATTTTAGGATATCAATGAAATGAAAAAGTCTTTATTTTTATTAGCTAGTATTATTTGTCTTTTATTTCTTAACTTTCTCTTAGTTTGTTAGGGTTCTAAATTTACATCCTATCAATCTCAGAATCGATACAAAATATGGAATGCAAAAGCGACGAATCTATATCGTAATCGAAGTAAATGCCTGAGCGGTTATCTCGAAACAAACTGAATTGGACTAGTGGCAGCGAATCACAATAGCAAAACGTTGCAAAGGCAAAACGACATCGTACAAATAAAATCGTAACACCGAAATGATCTTGAACCCTAAAAGTTAAACATAAACAGTACCGAACCCAACGTTAATAACAAAACCATGAGTTCCAAAATTAACACGCCTCAAAGGCGGATCGAAGAAGTTGTTTAAAGCTGTTGGTTGTCTGGGATTTGTAAAGTTTCGTAGTGTTTGATGGATGACGGTGCTTGAGAGTTTCACTCGGTGGATTTAGAAGGAAACAATAAGTTTGAGAGGTGTTCTGGACTGGGCCTGCTCTTGACCCAAGTCCGTATAAGGCCCAACCCATTTGTGTCGTTTAATACCAGCTGACCATATCCCCCCCTCGATGATGTCAGGCAATAATCCTCACTCTTCAAGAGGACGCTGCTTCGCCACATGGGGATGGACCCAGGAAGACGCAAGAAGGGGCATCACCAGGTGTTGGCTGAAGATTTTGATAATGTTATTTAGAAGCCAAAAGAATTAAATGTTCTGATCGAAATGGAATTAAACGTCATATTTCGAAGTTGCAGAAGCAGTGTTTCGAATAAGTGTGTCAAAGCTTGGAAGCTTCGAACGGCAATTATGGGAACATATCTAAAGGAGTCTCGAAACAACAGCGAAGCTGTGTTTGGGGAAAGCGTTCGCAACGGAGAAACACCAAAACATTTAAAATTCAAATGGAAGCGGGACTTTCAAAGTTTGAAAGTTATGTGTTGGAACATTTGGGGACACGTGGAAAGATGAAAGGAGCATTGTCTTGCATGTTCGAAACGTGGCATAATCCTATAGCGAGACCGTTAGGGTCGAATTAGTATAAATAGAAGTCTTAGTATTAGGATTTCAGTGTGTCATATCTATTATACAAAATACTCAATAACATTCAAACTACCACATGGCAAGGGAAACGAATGCAAGAGAAATGTATGTATGATAGCACCATGTATTTCTGATTTAATGAAAACCTTTTACCATTTCCAGTACTTTCCTTTATTCTTTTTGTCAAACAATATTTACAAGTTTTCTTATTTACAGTTTTTTCACTTCGAAATCTCTTCTTCAAAGTCTTACACTTTAATGTTGTCTTTATATTTCGAGCACTTTATATTTCTGAAAACTATCACATTTTCCATACCTTTACCTTCAAGTTTTGTCCTTCGAACGCATACTTTTACTTAAAATCATTTATAGATTTCTTGCATTAAACGTTTTCTCCTTATTCTCAAACTTTTACGTTCCAGAAAACCCTTTATGTTAACCGTTTTGTAAGTCGAAACTATTTACTTCATTTTCATGCAGTTTTATACGTCTTTACAATTCAGCATTACAATTAGCATTTATTCGTACAACTTAGTTTTTATACACATTTTGACTACATCTTTAGAGAGAAATCGAAATAAGCCAAACACCTATACAATATCAACCATGAGTAATTGTTCGATTGTGAGAGTAACTTTAATATCCAAGGAGTCCTAGGATCAATCTAGTCGATCCTGTGAGTTACCAGAGGGATTGAATAACAGTAAGAAAGATTATTCGATAGTTTGGAAGACTAGCGGTTGTTTACCAGAAATCACTGGAAACAAATTGGCACACCTGGTGGGACCAATAGTTGGATATCAGAATTAAGGATTGTTGAGACATAACCATTACAAAAACGTTGGAACTTGAGAAGTTTGCTGTTTTATGAACCTGAGAAGTGGTAAGATAACCAACAGCAACCAACCTTTATCCAGAAGAAAACGTTTGGACAAAATGTCTAATTCAGACAATCAACAAGGGGACCAAAATGCCCCACATACAACAGGCACTAACGCGTCCACTTCGAGCGGAACATTTAATGTAATCCCTTCGAATGCACAGTCTGTTGCATCTTCGACCAGTAACATAGCCACCAATGGAGTAAGTGGCATATCAACTAATAGTTCGATCTTAGGAAATACTGGAACTATGGACTACCCTGGGGGATTCATTCCATCATCAGGGACACAATCCCATATCGCCACCCCATTAACTAGACCACCCGGTTTCGATGGGAATAGAATCAGAAATTCCTCTTATGGAATGGCAACATCTTTTATGGCAGGATTACACAATTCCACATCGAATTCATCTCCACAACTAGGGTCTGGGTCTGGGGCGAATCAGTTTATGACAAATAACCAAGGGTCGGTGGGTTATAGCACATTGCCTATCCTAACCACAGATAACCAGTTGGCTTTTAGGCAATTGATGGATGACAGTAACCATAATATGATATGGGTGTTAGCGCAAACCATGCAAGAGATATTCGCCCCAATAGTGCAGAATGTGACTGTGACGAACAGGGAAAACGCTGACAATATGAGTCGAATAGCAGATTTCTTTGCTCCTTCAGAAAGGCGTAGGCAGAACCAGGCGGGATTTCGAACAAACATGCCTGTTATAGAACAAATTACAAACGACCCAATTTATAGACCACCCAGAGAAGAAGTTAACTTAGGGGCCAGGGCACCAAGGTTAGAAGCCCCAATAATCCCAGGTCCACAAAGGGAAGTTATGGAACCAGGAGCAAGGGTCGAAAGGCCAGAAGCCCCAGAATTTCGAGAAGAACAACCTAGGGGAGTTGTTTTGGTTGGTCGAAATCAAGATGCCGATGCCGTCGTTCATAGAATTCGAAACGATAACATCTTGGCAGAAAACAACCTAACCACCATGATAGAGAGGGTCATGGCCCAGAATGGCCTCAACACAGGAATGAGGAGGCCAAATTACGCTTCTCCTATATTGGACTGCATAATGCATACTGATTTACCAAGGGGATATAAAGTCCCTAAATTTACAAAGTTCGCTGGGGATACCAATGAGTCAACAGTCGAACACATAGCGAGATATCTAACCGAAGCGGGAGATATAGCCAATAACGAAGATCTCAGGATCAAATATTTCCCAAGTTCCTTGACAAAAAACGCCTTCACATGGTTTACCACTTTGCCCCCTGGGTCCATTGACACTTGGGCTCTCTTAGAGAGATTATTCCATGAACAATTTTACATGGGACAATCGAAAATAAGTTTGAAGGAACTGGCCAGTGTTAAGAGAAAGTTCACCGAACCCATAGATGATTATTTGAATAGATTTAGGCTTTTGAAATCCAGATGTTACACAGTAGTGCCTGAACATGAGTTAGTCGAAATGGCCGCCGGTGGCTTGGATTATTCTATTCGAAAGAAACTAGACACTCAGTATTTGAGGGATATGGCTCAGTTAGCCGATAGGGTTCGACAGGTCGAAAGACTAAAGGCCGAAAAAGCCAGAGTCTTTAAGAATAGCAAGAAAGAAAGGATTTCCTACGTTGGGACTGAGGAAGCAGAAGAATATCCTGAATTCGAATTCGAAGAGGTCGAAATCGACCTCGCTGAATTAAAACATGCCCCACCTTACTCCTGCAAAATGTTAGTTCCCACAAAAGGGAAAGATATTGTTGAAAATGAGAAAAGTGACAAATTTCCAAAGAAGGTTTATACCTTCGACGTCACTAAATGTGACGAAATTTTTGACTTACTTGTCAAAGATGGCCAACTAATTGTGCCATCAAATGTCAAAATACCTCCTTTGGATCAGAGAAAGAAG